ACTTATTTATTAAATCAAATATCACAATCACATAAAAGTAGATAATACATGTTAATTTTCCAAATATCTTTTATATACTTTGTAATATTTCCTCCGACTTTGAGGAATTAAGTTGGCTACTAAACAATATATGCTTAAATATATTAAAGTTACTAATAGTTAGCTCTCTTATCTATTTACATAAGTAAACACCATAAATACTTTATGCTAGATCTTACACAGCAACATATGGTAGACTATTTACAGGAGTTGGCTTATTAAAAATAACCAATCACCGCTATGAATCAGGTGCATACGCAGCAGCCAAAAGAAAAAAATCCAGACGCCGGCTAAAATATTTTTCAAAAATATTGCTGATTACTACATCTAATGCATATATATTCCAATTTATATTTATTTATCACATTCACACATTCACAGCAGAAATAAATGCACTATACTAATTTATTTTATAATTCACTGCAAAACTAAAGTAAAATATTTCTAAAAAATGACATCGATATGATTAAGACTATTAGAATAGCTAAATACATTATATGGGAGCTTAAGGAAATTAGGACGAATTTCATAAATTGTGTCATTGTTGAGTCAAAGGTAGAGCTCTATGAATTTAATATTTGTCTATTTCGATTCGCAGCATAGCAAGCCCATCGTTCCAATATTAATATAGGGTCAGCCTAAGAATACCAAAGAATAAATCTTTTTACCCATCTCTTGGATACTTTTGAATGAAGGTTCTTAATTTATCAGGCAGCCCTTACAAATCTGAAAATATTATTACCGCAGAATCCTTCCAAATCTATTTCAAATCTAGTTAGAGAGAAAAATAAATATTTGGCAGATTTTTATTGAAACTATGGTATAAAAGGTTAAATGTATAATATTCGAAAAAATTCTATAGATGCTTCCCATAATCTCAAACATATTTAAAATTTTTCTACCAATGAAAGCATTACCTTTAGCAAGAATAAAAACAAACCATACCTGACAAGTAATACTGCCATACTCGATTTAAGTCGATTTTTAAAAACCAGAAAAATATTGCCTAAGGCTGAGATTTCGCTAATAGATGTTCAAACCTTTGTGCCATAATGATTACAGCATGTTGATATGTCCGAATCTAATTTTTTAGAAATTAAAAATATTTGAAAATATAGATAATAATTTTTAAAATGTAAACATTTATTTAGTTGTATCAAACCATAAAATTATGTATAAAATTCCCTTCCGTTTCATCATATTATGGTGTCTATATTTTTTAGGCATGAAATTATTGCAGGGAAAATAATTTTTTACCGCTTCTATCATTTTAATATTGTATCCCATAATTTTAATTGTTATTATGAGGGATAACCAAGTTTGAAAAAAAAAAACATGATTGTCTTATTAAACATTAAAAACCTATGTGATTATACTGATTTGCAGTCAGATGCAGGACTATCCTGTGCTTATGTGCCTAGAAAGCTAATATATAGCCATTTTGAGGATATTGCGGTATTTTTCCTGGCTCCTGAAAGATTCATTTCTTAATACTTGCATCATCATGTGGTTGACAAAAAAATTGAATTTATAGAATTATTATTTAGAGTATTTATTAGTGTTTTTATCAATGACTCTGCACCTTTTCAGAAGATATAAACTTTTGGTGTTTTTGTCTTATCATATAAACTATTATACTCGTAGGAGCTTACATTTTGAGTATCATCCAGCATTAAAATAGCATTGCCTGATGGTTTTTTACTATTAAAAATGAATCATTTTCTTTCAAACAATTTAATATTTTGATTCCCTCCATTAGAGCTTATCAAGTTTTCATCATGCCTTATAAGAGGAAGCTATAACTTACCATATATTATTATAATTCGGATTAGTCGCTTCATATATTACCTTCTTTCGAGAATTGTTTATTTTGTTAGAACTACAAATTTAAGGTTTTGGTTCCAGATAATTGTATTTGTTGCATGATATGAAATACTCGGATCACACACAAATCACAATATCAAATTCGATTTTTATTTATATGTTAATTGATTAATCAATGATATATTTATTTAATTGGGATTGATAAAATATAATTTTTAAAGAAATATTACTAAAAAATATATCAAATCTGTATTAAAATCTAATAAAAAATTATTCAGGGGGTTATTAAAAAATTTCATGGGCTCGAGCCTATCTGCCCACCACGTTGTTATTTTATAAGCAAAAAATCGAAGGTCGTTCTTGCCTTATTTTTTGGCTTATTATAAGAGATCCGAGAATTTATCATTTGAAAGCAAAATTCTGAAATTTACGTTAATCTTAATAGTGCCTATTTATGCTTCATATTGGAATGCAAGATAATGAAATGTTAGTTCGTTTGTACAAACAGAAAAAAAGATAAGTAAAATGATGCGGCTGCTGGTTTGTGGCATATATTTATAAGCCAATATTAATATTTAATGGGAAATTTGTGCCGAATTGTTTTTTTATCACCTATGAGAAAGTTTTGGTATTGTGCCAAACCAAAAACGTAATAAAGAACCCGAGACGTTAAATGTTTAGATACTGATTTGTATCATACTAGAATGAAGCTGTTATACCAGTTCATCCAAAGTGATAGTTATTTGGTCATTTGTTAATTAATAACAAACCGGTTTAATGTTATAAAACGACTTCGTAGTAAGATGACTGCAATTTGCAAGTTGGCAATTTCCATATTATACTTTTGTTACCATATATTTTTTTGAAATTTTTTTAGAAATCAAAGGAAAATCTAATAACAAGTGTAGTAATAACATGTCAATTATACACAAACTAACTTTCAACGTTATTACAGCTGATTCAGTTTTAAAAAATAATTTAAGATAAAGCTAAAATATAGATAATTATTTTATAAATATTTAAGAAAAATCATATACCCTTTTATCGAATTCACTATTATTTTTATATTCGTATGACATATATTTAATCAGCGTATCGCAATATATGTTTATCAAATTTTATAATATCGTGATCCATATTTATTAATTTATGCCTATTTATTGGCTTTATTTTGTAATAACGTAACGCTTGAAGATAACGCGTTTACTATAAATAAGGTCAAAGTCATTTTTAAATTTTTCTTTATTTTTTTCCCCTCGAGCTAGAAATTAATGTAAACAAACTTACAAAATATTCCTATAAATTTATATAAAAATATTGGCGGAAGCATGGGAACTAGTGAGGTGAAATAATTATAAACCGATTTTTTTTTATATTTTATTAAATTAATTGTAAATAAAAACCAAAAATATGTTAAAATAATTTAAATATATTATAAATGTTTATATTATACTTATATATATATATATATATATTTAAAAAAAAGAAAACATTAATGTATGAAAAAAAATTTTTAAAAAGTTAAGTTTGTTTCTTATTGTAATTTGATTTGTAGATGATAATAAGAATCCTTTGTCTGAGTTAAAAACCACCCCTGGGTTTATTTGTAATTATAAGAATGTGCGTACCAAGTGAATATAAAGAAGATTAGTGTAAATATATGATCGTCGAATATTTCCTAGTATTTATTTATTATAAATATCTCTTTGAAATCAAAAATTTTTGAGTGTAGATTGGTGGTGGCTTAGGGATCAATAGAGAAATAGTCTCAAATTAAGAATTAACTCCCTTTTCTATGGATTAATGTATTGCCATCTGAACGCTTTCGTTAGATCTAAAAGACAAATAGGTTCTAAGATAGCTAGAATCTAGCCAGATTTAAGGACAGGTTGAATAATGGCATTGCATTAATTGTATTGGGATACGGCCTCTCAAGATGACAGTGCTGGCTATGCTGTCCATTCAAATTGGCAGAAGCGCTATAACCAGAGCAAAGAAGCAGTTGGTGATTAAGTAGTTGGGAATACCAATGGCATCACAAATAAAAAGAAGAAATGAAGGATTTATGGTTTTTAATCCATATTTATATATTTTTAAATATGTATAGATATCAGTTATATTAAATTATGAATAAAACAAATTAAAATAAATAATCTATTCACATTTGTAATTTTTTTAAAAAATCGATTTTATAGATATATAGTATTTTTTTATAATAAATTTAAAAAATTATAGTCCCACCCCCCATCATATTTTAAAGCAATACATATACAACTTAATCCAATTAATATTACAGGTAATTTTTATGGATTATTAAATTTTATAAAATATTAAAATGTAACTTAAATAAATCATTTGAATGTCCTTATATACTTTGTAAAAGGTAAAAAAAAAGTTTTTTATAAGAGACTTACCATAATATTTTTATTTATCAAATAAAGATAAAACTAATGTTGTTAATGATAAAAATCCTATTTGGGTGATTTTTAAAAACGCCCCGTTTAAGATTATAACCAAAATGTAAGCTTGGAGATTTTGTTTATAGATAGCAGAAGGATACCAATCGAGGCTTTAAATTTGACTAAAATCCTAAACGGACAGTTTTTAAAAATCGATCCAAATCGGGATTTTTAACAACACTACATAAAGCACTTCAAAATAAAATATATTTTGTAATAAAATTAACATAAATATACTCTCTTTATTACTAAAGGGAATAAAATTCTTATTTTAAAACAAAGATGATAATTTTAATAGTTATTAGATATTAATTTTATTCATAAACTGACTATAAAATGTCAAATTGGTGTCTTTTAAAGCGTGCGAATTAATTTTTTCTAACACGGGATGTGAAGAAATTTTTTATACACCTGAGTCTAGCCAATATTTTAAAAAAAAAACCGGCCGGGCATGAAAATATAAAATTCGGACCAGGTCTAAATTTTTATTTTTTTAAAACGCCAGAATGTAACCTTAAAGTAATTTTATTGAAGTAATAATAAGTATGTTGCTATCTATTGTAATATCTTTATAAATTAACAAAATAATATCTACCGAAATATATAAAAAATAAGCGGAATTTTGGCCCTGTCATATGTTTGTAAATTATACACGTCACCTATTATGGCAGTTTATTTTATAGCTCATAATTTATCTAGCCCAATGAAAAAAAACATATGTTGATTTGTGTTACAAATAATGTTTGCATCCTGACCATGTAAAATTATGAGTATTTTAAGTGATACTGAGGACAACCAGTTTATTTTTTTTAAGTTTTATACATTGTATTTTATTATTAAGAGTTAATGACCTATTATTAGTACTGCAAAATGAAAAATGTGATCTTAAGTCTATTAGGAACATGTGCAAAGGTAAATTTATACCAGATCAGTTTCGGAAACAAATTTGGATGGTTTATATATTAAATATTTCATCATCGTTAATAATTTTTCTAAGATATGTTTGGGGATTTCCAATGCAAATGAAGTTGAAGAGTGGAATGAAATTTATGATTTACCATATCAGCTTAACTTAAGAGAAAAATGTGTTGAATTAATTGGTAAGATTACTAATTATAATGTTCAAATATATTTGTTAATCATAGAAAATAACAAGGTTGAATCAAATGATAGCTTATGTTTAATTTCACAATTAGAATCTATTCTAACTTTTTATATAAAACAAAATGACTGTGAAAGTTTTGGTTATGAATTTGACAATTCCTGGAAATATATATTATCTATTTTATATCCTTTTAACTTTACTAAATCTCAATTATATTTAATTTTTAAAAGCATTCTCTTATTATACATTCCAAAAAAGTAAATTTCTATTATTAGCATTAATTATATAAATTTAAAATCAGATTAAATGTATATTATGATATATTTCGTTTAATTCTGTTATATCATGAACCTGAACTATGTTCATTTTTAGAGAGTAAAAAAATTCAGCCTAAGGATTATTGCTCAGCTTGGGTACATTATTTTATTTTATTAAGTTAAAATTTGTTTTAGTTTTCAACCTTATTTTCTAGTTGTACATGTGATAGAAATGTTATATATGCTTTGTGGGATTATGTTTTTCAACAAGCAGATGATTTTGTTATTTTTTATATAGCAATAGTGTACTTAATTAATGCAAAGTATCTAACAATGAATTATCACTTATTGATTCTTAATTTAACTTAGAGAAATACTTTTATCCATGAAAGATCAAGACAAAAGTGCTATTTTGGGTAAATGTAAAGTTACTTAAATATTTAATATAAATTTTATAGCTTTTATTAACAATCTTACCTCAAATTTGACAATTGAGGATATATCAGATATTATATCTATTTGTCAATATTATTCAATAACAACTCCAATTACTTTGAAATTGGTAATTAAAATTGATATTATATCTATGAATGTATGTATTTATATATATATAGGATAAACTAGTGTTGAAAAAGGATGATAATATTGACGAAAACTTATTTGCCAACAATTTATGCATAAATATATCAGTACAAGAATTAATCAGATCAAAAAATTATAAAAATGTAAATTATAAAATAAACCAAATATTAAATTGAGTAAAATGTGCCAAAATTGGTTTATATAATATATTTTTATATATTACATCTAGTATACAAACTATGAGGTTTAGCTGGTTTACAAACTATGAGATTTGGTTATTTTACAAACTCTCTAACTGATTTATAACTTATACAAACTTGCTACCTGCCCAATTTTTTGTTTTAAAATAAATTAGGCTTGACTATTTTAGAATTTTTTAAACATTTTTGAAAAACGAATTAATTTACATCCATAGTCAGTGGCGTAGTTAGGAATTTTCCTTAGAGAGAATCCATACATATAAAATCCTGGGGCTTTGCCCCCCAGACCTCCCCTTTAACGGGCCTTTGGCCCTTTTGCTCAGCCTTCAGCGGGTTTATCTTAAAAGTCATATTTGTTTTTCTTATAATAAAAAAGTCCTATAATTATTGATCATTTTAATTAGTTTTGTTAAACGGCTCGATTTGAGCGGATTTTATTAACGCTAACTCAATATTTTATAGTGTTGTTAAATAGTTGAGTTTTATCGACTCTGAACTCGAGCCGTAGTCGTATAATACGGCTCAGACTGCCATTTGAGCCAACTCCTGAGACGATTTTATATTAAAAATTATATTATATATAAAAGATATCAAATTTATAAAGAATTATACAAACTATTATTTTATATATATAATAGAGTTGTTAAAAGTTATTTTTTAAATGAATCTAGATGCAGATACAAATACATCGTCTAAAATGGATCTAGATACAGAAATATACAATTTTAAAGATACATCTAGATATAGATACAAATTTTTGCATACTTATATACAGGGTTCGCCGTTGTTCTCGAACAGATACAGCAGATATAATCTTGATCTGTAAATATATTTGGGTTTATTTAGGGGATATATTATATGCCACAAGCTAAGAATCCGTTTAATATATTATTTGGTGTTACTGTAATTATATATTTTAACCGACCCATAACAGCTTTATTACCCCAAGGTGACATATATTATAAACATTGTTATTGCGTGGTGACTTCTCTATAGATTTCAGATAAATTTTATTTTATAACAAATACATTAAGGAACATATGTGCCAAATTTGAATCCTGAGGATATGTATATTTTAGTAAAAGCAAAATATACTAGAGAATGATTTTTATATTTTTTGGGTAAAAAAACAGTTTTTTGACAAAATAGAAAAACCAGGTAAGTTTTTTAAAAGATGAACATAGGTATGAAATTAGATATAAAAATACATCTTCACACCAAATTTAAAATCTTTGTGCTCAAGGGTTAAAAAATTATTCGCGTTAACATTGTTACCCCGTCAATCGCTTTACCCAGGTCTCCCCTACATAGAGAAATTTTTTTAAGAGATATATAATATAACATGATATTGCATCAAACTTTAAAATTTTTTACATTATTATTTATCTCAAGAATTCAAGTAAAATTTCTTTTACCTGAGATTATACCTATATAAATCCTGCATAATAATTTAATTGTATGATAAATCAATTGAAATTGACGCAATAATTTGTTTTTTATTAATATATTTTCGAATATATAATTTTATATATGTATAAATAATGTAAAAAATATTATATAAACAATTTAAATAGTATAATACATAAATTATTTATTCCCAAATATTATCGGTAATAGTAAAAAGATTCACATCCCACGAATTTAACGACAGCGTCTGTTTAAGAACGGATGAAGACATCCTATTTCTCTTCTTAGTCATTGTATCGACAGCTCTAGAGAAAGTTCTTTCACTTGATACGGATGTAGTTTGTTGTGCCATAAAATCTTTAGCTATTTTGGACAACCTTGGAAAACGATGAGTATACCGAGACCACCATCCCAAAACATTCTCGGTGGTCTGTATATAAGAAAATATTTAAAAAAATATAAAATTATAAATATGAAAATTTTTTAACAAAAAAATATTTTTATGAGGAAATTACGCAATTTGAGATAAAATTACTCAAAGAAGCTACATAATAGTAAACGAAGCTGGAAAAATTAATTTTAAAATTTCCACTTAGTTTTTTTTTAACCCCCCTGTGCTTATTAAGTTATAAAATGTAAAATTTAATATACAGATTTGATTTTGGCATTTTTTTAAATAATTAATAACTAATCATTTTAAAAGGAGTCGGCATAGCATTGTTCCTCAAATTACTACTCGTGATGAATGATATTACCGCCATATGTACCTTCCTCCTTATTTATTATAATAAACACCGGAGTATTGAAAGGTTAAAATTATTAAAGTCTACCTCTCCAATGGAAATAATAGAATCATCCATAAAATAAAAAAATTAATATTTTTATTGAAAATTTTGTATATAAGAAAATATTTAAAAAAATATAAAATTATAAATATGAAAATTTTTTAACAAAAAATAAATATTTTTATTATTTAAAATAATCTAATTTTTTGGGGAAAAAAAAGGAAAGGGAGGGGAGGGAATAGAATTGGATTGGAAGTTTAAAAAAAACAAAAAATAAGTAAAAAACGGAAGTTATTAATATAAAAATAATAAAACTTAAATTTTAACATGCTAGCCAGCCGGCAAAAGGATTCAAAAGAAGAATAGAAATAATTGTTATTTTTTTCAGAGAAAAATTTTTTTTAAAAAAAATATTAAATCAAGGAAGGAGGGGGAGGGGTATTTTTAGAACAAAATTATAAAACTATAATACATACTTTTAATAATTTTATATATTTTTTTATTATATTTTATTCTAGGAATTTAATAAATTAATCTTAAAGTTTGATATATCATGTTATATATCTCTTAAAAAAATTTCTCTATGTAGGGGAGACCGGGGTAAAGCGATTGACGAGGTAACAATGTTAACACGAATAACTTTTAAACCCTTGAGCACAAAGATTATAAATTTGGTGTGAAGATGAATTTTTATATTTAATAATTTCTTACCTATGTTCATCTTTTAAAAAACTTAACTGGTTTTATCTATTTTGTCAAAATGTTTTTTACCCAAAAAATATAAAAATCATTCTCTAGTATATTTTGCTTTTACTAAAATATACATATCCTCAGGATTCAAAATTTGGCACACATGTTCCTTAATGTAATGTATTAGTTATAAAATAAAATTTATCCGACATCTATAATAGCTATACTAGAAGCCACGCAATAACGATGTTTATAATATATGTCACCTTGGGGTAAAGCTGTTATGGGTCGGTTAAAATATATAATTCAGTAACACCAAATAATAAAAAAAAGTATATTTTAACAACTTTGTATAATTCTTTATAAATTTGATATCTTTCTTTTATATATAAAATATTTTTAAATATAAAATCGGCTCAGGAGTCAGCTCGGGAGTCGGCTCAAACGGCTGATTGAGCCGCTCAATGCTGAGCCGTTTATTACGACTAAAAACTCGACTCGAGTGGCGGCTTAGCCGCATCGGCTTAGCCGTTTAACAACACTATTTTAGCCAAAAATATTTCTCAAGAGATTTCACGAATAATGTCTAAAACTTTGTATCATCCATGTGCAAAATTTTCAGGCTTGCATAATTTTCTGGCAAATATATAGCCAAATCAGCTCAAATTGAGCTATTAACAACACTAATTTTAATTAAAATAACACATTTTGACATAACTTTTATAGATATACGTTTAAATTTATTATACTTTTATAGAAATCAATTTACAAATAAAAAGCAATTATTTAAAATATAAATATTATATTGCTTTAATTATAAATATTATATTGCCTTAATTATAAAACATAATATAAATTGCTGATTATAAATGATATAAATTACTTTAATTATAAATGATATATTTTATAATTAGTAGTATTATATAACACATTTAAATTATAGATTAAAATATTATAATCATAATATGTTATTATAATTTAGTAGATTATTCTCAATAACTTTATAATAATACTATCCAGAATAATTTCAATAGTAATATAATATCCTCTCACAAACATCAAAACCAGAAAAATATAAATATTCATGGTATTTATCAGAGTTGTTAAACGCTATTTTTAAAAGTAGCGCGCTATTAGCTACTTTTTTTCAAAAGTAGCTTTAGCTACTTTTAAGCTACTTTTTATAAAAAAAAATTTAGAAACAAATGAAATAAATTTTTTTTATTTTTTTTTTGCTTATAATGTAAATGTATAATAAATAATATATAAAAATCAACATTTATAAATATAAAAATATAGTTAGTTTAGATTATAAAAAAATAAGCAATATAAATAAATATTTATTTTAATTTGTTGCATTTTAATAATAATATCATTTCAATATTATCATCCCCAAGTCTAGAACGACGATCAGAAAGTATAAGCTTTGCTTTACTAAATAATCTCTCGACACTAGCACTTGAGGGTAAGGGGGTATTAAATTTTATATATAAATTTTTAATATATTAAAAATTATCAAAAATATTCATTTCAATATTTTTTGATTGAAAAAAAGATCAATTGGATTTTCTATTAAATCATCTTTAATTTCAAAAAAATTATTTGAGGATGTCTTCGTGGTAGATACTCGGCAATCTATATTTGTTGGAGTAAGATTATTCAGCTTAACCTTAGCCATTAGCCTATCGCGTTGATGTTTTCCATATACTCCTAATATAAGCTATATTTAAAACAACACAGAAAATAACCTGCAAATTCTAATAAATCATTTGATTTAATTTTTTTTCTTATTTGCACATTTTTAACTTCAATTAAATATACTAATCTCCCTTCCCTGTTTAAGCTATTAAAGGGCAAAAATTAATATTATTAATCCCTGGTTATTATGATTAATTCATCAATAAATATTTTATTAATTACAAATATTCATTCTTATATGTGTATGCTATGTTCTTCACAAATAAATAATAAAAACTGTATTTTATAAACTATTCTAATTTAATTGGTAATGATAATTTAAAAGTATCTTGTATTTAAGTTACTCTAATTTAGTAAAAGATA